CTCATACAAACAACATAATATGATCAGGAATCAGAGGCTCTGAACACGGAGCAAAACAGGGCAATAAAAAGCCACACACTACTCCAATATAAGGTTGTTTATCTCTTCAAATACTAAGACATGAAAACCAAATATTAGCACAACCCTTACACCTCAAAACTAATTCGCTGAAGTACGAAAATGTAGCAAACACATCACATAGTCAAGGCTAAGCAAACTTCATATTTAAAGGCCCAACCAAGCACTTCTTTTTTTTTTTTTTTAAACTGGCAGATAATCTAAATAATCAATAAACACCGTTTACAAATAAGAGATCCAATGATCCCAAACTTACAATGAAACCCACATAGAGGAACATACAAGGATGCCCTAGACTCATACCAAACACACACCAACAACCTGCTGCTGAGAAAAAAAGGCAAGAAACTTAGAAAATAGAAAACCACTACCAAACACACACCAACAGCCAAGCAATACTCATGCTTCAAACTTTATGAACATTAAACATGCCTGTAACTCTTAAATAAACTGAAACTTAAGCACAATTCAGCACTTACACTTGGCTACAAAAGAGGTAACCGAGGCTCTCACCGGAAAACAAAGAATAAACGATATCGGGATGTACGTCAATTCATGAATTTGAACAATTTTTGCAACGAATTGGGGAGAAAGACCTCAAACTCAACAACAAAAACACATAATTCATGAAAAACAAAACTTAACAACACACTTTAACATAACAGCCTGAAACTTTTCAACACTCACATCCTAAATTTTCTCCCTAATCATAATCTAAATTCCAAAAATACTACATAAGTAAAAAAATGCTACAACATAATCGAAAGAGTTGAACATTGCTCGTAATGGTGGAGAGATAGTTGAAGTGTAAGACAAAAACTTACGCGTTGACTGAAAATGAAATCCACCGGAGCTATGGCCGTATTGTTAGAACCGAAGATGGCCGTCTTACCTGCTGATTTTTTGGTCGGCAAATGATTCGACTGCTAGAGTCGAATTTTAGGGCACCAGTCGTCGAAAAATTCTTCGACTGCAAGTGCAATGATGTTGTTTTCCCCCAATTTTCTGTGCCGATTTGTTGATATGAGGAGGGCAACATGGAAGGGTATTTTTGTAATCACAAAATGAACACAACATTTTTATCATGCAATGTAAATGAGGATTGGACAAAATAAAGTATGTATCTTGTTGAGTAAATATTGGACAAAATGTGACGTGGCAAGTTGGAGGGATTATGTTATCTAATCGTATCATCTCTAGTAAATGAGGCCATTGTCTACTAAATAATCCTAAGCGCAGCGGATCTATAAGTTAGAGTTGAACGCATATTGTTTAAAATTCGCAGACTCTATACAGACTTACACAGCCTACGAGATCTGAGATGTTCTTCTCACCTCATCATCCTCTTCGTCTTTGGTCGTGGGTCGTCTTGCGTTGCTCATTGATCAGAATCTTATTGTGCCGTATCACGCCTTGACCATGTCCTGCGTTTTGCATCTCCTAGGGCTGAAGCATCTTTGATCGTTTGCTGTTGCCTGCTGAAATTCGTTGCACGAACTGAACGCAAAGGAACACTCCACGGAAAAGGTTTACTAGAGCATAACGTTATGCCACCATATAGCTTACAACAAACTTTAACAAAACATGAAATTCGCTGCACGAACTGGATGCAAAGGAACACTCCACAGGAAAGTTTTACTAGAGCACAACGTTATGCCACCATATAGCTTACAACAAACTTTAACAAAACAACAGTAAGCAAAATACTTGGTTAAAATTTGTTGGAGAGATGAGCACAAAACACAACCACAAAACCACTTCAACTAAATACCTTTCCCTAAATCAAAAATTGATAGGTGCTCTGGATATAAAATTTAGTAATGCCATGACCACTCAAAGACGGTCATTTCTGGAGCTACCGACCAAGCACTTGGGACTAAATTAGAAGGAGATTCTTGTGAACCATGCACACGCGAAGGAATATGCGACATCCACATCAATAATTTCGACTCCTTTCCCGCAGTCCTTCTTTTTTAGTCGTTCATCATGAGCCCCCTTCACACATTGTACATCGTCATCGAGTGATATTGAGTGGGAGACTGATTAGTCGGGGAGACTGATTAGTCGTTCATCATGAGCCCGCAAACTTGATACTTGTTATCATCTCACGCATCACCCTATGCCTTCTCTTCAAATGTTGAAACTGGTCCTCACAATCAAACGAACTGAACGACTTATCCAACTGGATAGTGAGCTTATCCGTGCACAATGAAAACAACGAATATTTAGTTGAAGTATGCTATTTCAGTAACAAATCCATCCATGACGTGCTAATAGCCTAATACCAAGAGTTCTACAAACGCACGATCGATGCTCAGGCCCGTTTCTCATTATACAGGTATTCGTTTTGTTCAGGCGGTAATGTTTCATTCCTTATCTATTTCGGATAGCCAGAAAGGTAATTGGGTATCAAAAATTAAATAAATTAAAGCACCAACAATTTCAAGCTAGCCATGACAAATAGTAAGACAGAATTAAACAGTTGAACCACGGTGAGCTTCAAAATTGACGCATCAGAATACATAACCCTAAATCAACTCAAAATCGAAAAAGTGCTTAAATTGTATTACTTAATACATAACCCACAAATTGATTTCATTTTTTCTCCATGGAGAAATGTGATAGATAATCTGGAAGAAAAAAAAGCTCTCAGAACGCGTAGATTGTTATCACACAGATTATTCCACAAACTCGAGAAACTCCGGTACAATATGGTTTTCTCTACATGTTACAGCTCTTTAGATTTGACAGCAATATAAATGCCATCACCTTGTGGCAGGCATGCTGCACAACAATTTTCAGCCAATAGTACAAGTCGAAAAATACTTTTAGAAGATCAACATTTTTTGCATCTTCACGATTTCTGCATTAGAAAATCTACATAAATCCAGTACAAATAAATATAAAACTGATGAGGTTGCAGTATAACGGATGGAAACTGCATGTAGTTGATACATGGCTGAATTGTGACTCATAAACCTGTTTCGAGCTTCTGGCTGCCCCACACAGCACACGCTCTCAGATTGAACTCTAAGAAATCATTACTCGAGTGCACATCGTGTTCAAAACGGTTTCCCATAGTCCTGATTTGGCTGCTCCCAGGGTCCCAAGAGGCCTACAACAAATCAATACTTTAGGGAGAGAGAGAGAGAGAGAGAGAGAGAGA